GAGCAACAGGCATGGATACATGCAAGTGATAGGTGAAACAGACCGGCACCTGGATGTGTAACATTCAGTGTTTCAACCTGCAGGCACAAATTTAAAGCGCGCAGAGCTGCATGGCCGCGTGAGTTCGGCATTCGACATTGCTGTTATTGCCCAAGCGAATTAGACGCACGGACTATGTATGAGCTCGAGACTGTAACTTGCAAGAATATATACATCCCCAATCTGGCGACAGCTTTACGAAAAGAGCAGAACGCACACACACACAGCAAACGGATCTTCGGGCAAATTCTTTGCTTGAAAGAATGCCCACATGTTCAGTCCAGATGGAAAGCTTACTGCACATAGAATGTAGAGCTAAGCTCCACTTGATGCCAGCAACAGCATCGGTTGCGGCTTGGGGAACAGTCGCACTTGATATTGATTAGTGTATATTCTCCAGTGAGAAGTATCTCTATCGTGTTGTTGGGAAAATGGTTAAGGAAGTCGCTTTTCCTATGAAAGCATCTCCCTTAGAAATGGACAAACGCACTACAGAGGGATACCTTCTCCGGCAGGATAGCGAATCCGCCTTCGTATCCGCCGAGTGTGCTCATCCCAATCATAAAGAAAATATGATTATCACGAGAATACAACCAGCGATCAGGTCGATTGGTCTGAGCCCGGACAGGCTGGACCCACAAGGTCCAAACGAACTGTTGGGCTCGGATTAAACTCGTCGGCAGATGCATCATCAGTGATAATGGAATCCGACCTTTGGTCCTCGCCCAAACCAGAACGGTTCAGTTCTTTCCCCTGGACTTGCCCTTGCTCTTGCCCTTCGAGGACTTGTCACCCTTGCAACCTCTTGCTTTCCCACCAGGAGGTTGTGGGGGTTCGGCTGGACGTTGCGAGCCAGAAGCGGTTGCACCAGAACCTACCCCTCCCTGTGGAGAGCCTGCTTCCATAGGTGCGGGCTGTGACGGATCTGCGGATCCACGAGCCTTGTTCGCCTTCTGTCTCTCTCGTCTCCTATCTGCCTTCTTCTTGACAGTTTTGGGGTTACGGCTCATCGCTCTCATCCTTCCTCCAGTGTACTGGTTCACATGGACCTCGATTAGGAGAGGAGTGTTAGCGTCACAGTCCCGGGCGGCCTTGGTGGAATTGATCAGCCACCCTGAGACATGGACTTTGCATTCGGGCTGACCGTCAGGAGTTTGAGCCCGTTGAGCGTTACCCATTGAGTGACCCCACTCCACAACGGTGGCCACCAATGGATCCAGCCCTGGAAACCTATTCCAGTCGGGCTGGGTGCATTCCCGGTCAGGTCTTCCAAGCAAGTCTGCGTATTGCTTCAGAAGACACCAGCTGTTTGCAGAGACGTGCTGGGCTAGCGTTGCCGTCCAGGCTTTGCAAATTATCAAGTGTACTTTGATACATGCCTCCCCAGACATCCATGCTCTCTTGTTTTCGCCCGGTAGCCCGATACGTAGCCATGTTTAGCTCTGCTCCGATCAAGTCGACCTGATAGTACAGGCAATCGAGGAACATGGTGCCCGAAGCATCATGGGCGAGACTTACTCTCGTAGCCGCGACAACTTTGTTCAAATGAAAGCCACAGACACGGATTGCTTCGCAGCCAGCCCGTGCAAGCGGCTGGGTCATGGCGGAGTCTGAGAACTCTCCTTGTTGCCTTGGATGCCTGTGCGGAGAGTCATCCGGTAGTTGATCTCCACTATCATGTATGATAGTGGAGGTCAGAGCCTGCGCAAGATGCTTGTGGGCTACCCCGACAAATGTTGAGCCAACCAGCAGATCACCAGCATTGGTTTGTAGAGGAAATCCTTCTCAGAGTGCGATATCTTTGAGGCTTCACTCCAAAGAACCTCATATGCCTCAACCTGGGTGATGCTCTTGATGAGGGCTCTTCGGCTTGCGCCCGTGGTGTCTGGTCAAATAAGCGGATGGTGTCGTTCTTTTTCGACCGCGGGAAAGATTCCTTAAACTCAGAATCGCACAGAGCAGAGTATTTGGCCCTACTGGTAAAGATACGTCTGCTTGCTGGCTTCTCTTCTTGTATAATTCTTTGATTCGATCTAAGAGAATATCTTGAATCTCAAATACGGCTCATTATACTTGAATCATTAATAATCTTATTAAGAAAGATATCGACACCTCTTCTTATTCGAAATTTATTTAGCCCGGATTATTGATTAGATATCTAAAATTTCGAAAAAATTGATAGAATATATAAAAAAATATATATAGATATGCCCAATTTCTTCAAAAAATATATAATATATTGAATGATAAAATTTTTCTTAAATATAGAAATTTCTTTTTCTTTAATTTTCGATTATGATACTTTAAATAATACTAAAATTTATATTTTTTATATATTGCATAGGAATTTTATATTTATAGAAATCTATAATTTATATAAATAAATTATTAATATAATATCTATTTGGAAATAATGGTAGTGTGTTCGGGTGTTTCTATGTTTGTTGCTAATTTTTGGGTTGAAATTCTTGGATCGTATTTTTAAACCTCTATTTTTATTTATCTTATAATTTTTACAAAGAATTTCATATTTTCTCTAAAAAACATTTTATATTTAAATTATATTTATTTCTTTTTTTCGTGAGATGAATGATATAAGATTAAATAATAGTAATAAATAATATCTCTGTTAAATTTGGCGGAATTTATATTTCTCATTATTGAATATAAGAGCCAAGGACGGATCTTATTGCAATAGAAGTAAGGAGACGAGGTTTGGAGTGTCTCTAAATAAAAGAACAAGGGAGGAGAGGGCCGCAAGACGTTATATTAATTTAGAGAAGAAATCTCCGCCGTGTGCCGCAGCACCGCGTGGGCGCGGTGGCTGCGCAGCAAGACGGACATCTCCTGTAACGGTTCCGAATGCAATCCCGATGGCGGGGCGTCTTCGTGTGTGGCCGCAAGTCGGCAAATAAGAGAGTTATTTCAGATTTGTAGGCGCCAATGACCTCTACGACCAGGGGCACGGGCAGTGCCCAAGTGGGACGACTTGACTTCTATATAAGAGGCGGCGACAGCCAACGCCTGTTGACCAGCCCTGCCAAGGGACTCCTGCCGCTGTGGTGCTGTCACAGCTAAGTCAAAGGCAACAGGAGTTCCATAGAGTCGGGGAGCAATACGACTATCATCTGGACATTGGTGAAGCAGAAGGTGCAGCTTCTCGAGCTCAGGGCGAAAACGCGCACGTTCGGCCCATGCGGCGAGTAGGTCACGCGCAGCGTTGTGGCGTTAGTTGCGTTCCCCTCCCGTCATATAGGAGGTGAAAAGCGTCGGCAGAGGCGTCAGCAAGATCAAGCCGCTGGCGAAGCTCGACAACGAACGCCGCAGCCTCGAGGCGTTTGCGGTCGGACGGCACTGCAGCCAACCACGCTCGCCCTCCGGATTCGACTTCGGAATGAAGGATTGCGCGCCCAAGAACTGAGGTTGATGCCAGCTGTTGTTGCCAATCTTCCTTGTCCAGAAGCAAGGCGATGGCTTTTTGCTTCATGCCCAATAAGAGGTGGGGTGCCATAGGTAGCCGAAGTCGCAAGTTATCAGCGGCCGCAGCCTGATCCACTGCAGTCTGGCTGGCGAGCCCAGTCGCTGCATAGTGGGCATCAAGCCCGCGACATGCCGTCGCGCAGGCCCCGACAGAGGCCAGATAAGCTGCCGGACCATTATCAGCCGTGGAGCGGAAGTCTAAACCAGCTTGCGCAAGCCCATGTGCAGCCTGAACCCACTGGTTCCCATCAAGGGGAAGCCCAATGAGGCCAGCAATATAGGCCCGCACCACAAATCGAATCTGTCAAATTG